TCCAACGTAACTAAATCATGTCTGGGACCAAGTTTTGTTACGTGCTCAGAGGTTGGTAAGATCTTCGCTTGTAAGTAAGAGAAATGGATTGATTGCAAAGATGAAATTGAAAAAGGAATTAAAAAAATTAAAAATAAAATAAAGTGATAGGTATTAAACAACAAATTCGCTATCAAAATTAATATAGGTCCCCCCTTATCTCGATTTTGATGTTGTCTTCTTTGTCGTGGCCAAATATGTATTCAGGCCTACCTTCATGACCTTGTCTCAAATACTATTGCAAATGAAGGGCTACCCTTTGGCCTTTTCCAGTGCTCATTGAATAACTTGACCACGTATAATTCTACTTATATTTCACATGCAACTTGCTTGAATTGGTCAATGAGATAGAAAAAACAAATAATATATATATACACAAAGAAATTAGAATATAGATCCTTTTGTTTTTTTATTTATTAAACGAAGAGAAAAATTGCAATTTTGTCCATTATTGTATAATCAAATTGAAAATCATAGTATATATGTTCGTAGCAGTCGTGATCGTGTCTTTTAAATATTCAGCGCTACATAATTAGATATGCATAGTATTCTCTTGAATTAATCCTTTTATGTATAATGAATTTGTAATTTATAGTCTTGGCTGTAGTGCATAGTTAATTATCAATAGATTTCGTGTAGTAGTTATCAAATGTGCATGTGGGTAGATAAAATATCTTAAATCTTCCACAAAGTATCGGGTTATTAAGATTGTGTTATATTATCATATTAACAAATTCTTTTTGGCTTAATGTGGGGCTAAAAGGAAAATAGATTTCTCATTAGTACAGTTATCCGATAAAAATCAACAATAGAATATTCAATCAAAATTAAAAAAAAAAAATGAATATTATAGCATTCACTAAAAAATCCAACCAAAAACCTTACAAATATCAAAATAAAATTATTTCACTAAAATTATANCTATATGAACATATAGTTTTTATTGAAATTATATTAGCTAACCAAAAATTCCATTTATAAAAAGATGTTATTGAGATAATGTAAATTGTAAAATCTAACATAAACAGATAAACTTCCTAGAATATTATTTGAATTTATGTTTAAAATACGACATTTGTATTTCAGTGTTTTCATTGATGACGGATGAAAGTCGGCTGCCACCAATGCCACGTAACTCCCTTTTTAATGTCTTAATCCTACTTTACAGCTGACATTAAATCGGTTTGACAAAATCTGTAACTCGCCTTTACGGATTCAATTAAATAATGAATACAGGTGATATGATAGGATTAATCCCCTCTTAATATAATTTGAAAACATACTGACTGCTTCGCACACTTCGAAAATTTACTTGGCAACATTATATGTTTCGGCTTTTGGTTCGGATACATTCCTTAATTGTTTAAAATAAAATACTTAATTTCTTATATGCTGTATAAATTTTCAAACTCTAAAATAAATTTATTTATATCTTAGGATTCTTATCTTATATAATTTGAAAATGTGCTGAGCTTAAATGGCTGCTTTCAGAAGCTTATTTGGCAACATTACATGGTTCAGCTTTTGGTTCGGATACATTCCCTAATTGTTTAAAATAAAATACTTAATTTCTTAGAAACTTACTTGGCAACATTACATGCTTCGGCTTTTGGTTCGGATACATTCCCTAATTGTTTAAAATAAAATACTTAATTACTTAATTTCTTATATGCTGTGTAAATTTCAAACTCCAAAATAAATTTATTTACATCTTAGGATTCTTATCTTATATAATTTGAAAACGTGCTGAGCCTAAATGGCTGCTTTCAGAAGCTTATTTGGCAACATTACATGCTCGGCTTTTGGTTCGGATACATTCCCTAATTGTTTAAAATAAAATACTTAATTTCTTAGAAGCTTAGTTGGCAACATTACATGATTCGACTTTTGGTTCGGATACATTCCCTAGTTGTTTAAAATAAAATACTTAATTTCTTATATGCGTGTAAATCTTCAAACTCTAAAATAAATTTATTTACATCTTAGGATTCTTATCGTGTAAACCAAAATAAAAAAAAAAAAAAATAGCTTTAATAACATTTTTATATAGTTTACATTAAAAAAAATACTATAATTTTGCAAAAAATATATAGCCACTTGCATATTAGGATTCTTATCTTATATGTCGTTCAAACCAAAATAAGAAATTTAGCTTTACATATTATTTTATTTATATAATTAATGTAAACAATAACTTTTTTATATAATTTAAATTAAAAAAATACTATAATTTTACAAAAAATATATAGCCACTTGCATATTAGGATTCTTATCTTATATGTGGTGTAAACCAAAATAAAAAATTTAGCTTTACATATTATTTTATTTATATAATTAATGTAAATATTTTTTATATAGTTTAAATTGAAAAAATACTATAATTTTACAAAAAAAATATATAGCCACTTGCATATTATACCTTTTCAATCCAACCATGGTAAATAAATTATTTAAATCTTTTTATAATATCTATAAAAATACATTGAAATAGTTATAGAATATTACATGATCTTTCTAATATATTTTAAGAAGTTGAAATAAAAATAAAATAAATTTTGATTAACACCATGGTAAATAAATTATTTAAATCTTTTTAGAATATCTATACAAAATACATTGAAATAGTTCATGTGTTTTTTCTATTATTTTATGTTTTATATATTTTTTTTCAAACAACCCGTGTAGTACACGGGTGTCGTACTAGTTGAGGTATTATTACTAAAACTAGTTGATTGAGAGAGGGTTATAACAATCTCCAGCTTTTAGAGATTCATTAAGTCCATATCTTAGGGTTTGGACCATAAGTCAAATTTTAGTTTTTGTTGTACACGTCGCTCATGTCCACCGTCAAACACATTCAAGTAAACCCTACCTCCAAGGTAATTTGACCTGTTTTTTGTAGTTTGAACACCGACTTAATATATTCTTTTATTCCTATTTTCAAATTGACCCATTAATTTTTTTCAATTAAAAGATCCTTACTCATAATTCTATATGTTGAGCTATTTACTTGACTATATAAGCAAGAGTTTTAATTTAATAATAGAATATGATAATTAGTAGTATCACATTTATGAAGTTGTTTCATATATTTTGAAATAATTGATACCATGCGCTTTATTTGATATTTCATCTTATATTTACATGAAATGTGTGAGTGACAAACACTAAATAAATAATACCATATTTATATGCTCTGTCGCAGTAGTACATTAACAAAAATTAATAATTTATAACCTATATCATATCCCAATAGTAAACAATACCGTGAAACCCTTATCAAATTGCTAGTATCTTCGACATGAGCTTTACGTCAAAATAAAGCCATAATTAAAAACAAGTCATCTATGCGTGGTACAAGTTTTTTTGAAGTCTTTCCATTGAGAATGGGTGAGACAGGTATTTCGAAACAGTCTGAATGGGCTTTATCTCTACTGTGGCCTTGATTGTCCAGACCAATACGGTAGACAAAAGCCTAATGAATGGGCCATATTTAATGGGCTAAATTATACGATACACGACTTTCATTTAAATAGTTTAAACAAGAGGGAGGCTAATTTACACATCTATATCTATTTGGATAAAGCACATAAGTATACAGCCAATATAAAAAATCTTCCACTTATACCTAGGGCTGTAAGCACTCTCTACTTATTTTTAAGATAATGCTAATAATTTTCGAATAATTTTGAATTTTTTCAAAAACACTTTAGCCAGTAGTTTTTAGATAGTGACAACAATAGACATAAGCTTTACGAATTGACAACAATAGCCAACAATTTTTAAAATTTCGAGTTTCGACACAATTCCGTCGAGTTTGACCGGATTTAAATAATAACTCCAAAGTTTTAAAGTTGTTGGCCGTTATTGTCAATTGATAAAAATAATGGCTATTATTGGCATCGCATAAAATATACTAACTATACCCAATGCTAGCCAATGGACCAAAAGTCGAGTTTAATTGTTTTCTTTTAGGCTACTTAGTAGTTAGGTGTCCGTACTCTTCAAACAAATTCGCATTCTTACAAATTCAAGTGTCATGACTTTAAATGATATAAATAAAATATAACATTTTATAATATAAATATGTATTTTTTTAAGAAAGTATAATTCTTAAATTATTTTAACACGGTGTGACGCAGCAAGCATCGCAATGCCTAGAACATCTAAACACGAATCAATTAATCTTTTTCATTTAATAATTCATCACGGTCAAATAATAGATGTGAAATCCTTTAAATAAGGCTCCCATAAACCTTACTCCTTAACTTGTCCACCAAGTCAAGATAAATAAATACAATTAATAATAATAACAACTAATGTTAATAATAATAATAATAATAATAATAATAATAATAATAATAATAATAATAATAATAATAATAATAATAGATACGTCTACACTAACTGAAAGAGTATAGCTCACGTTTTTTTTTCTTCAAATCGATAAATTGATCTGATATCGAATGACTCGGCTTATGGAGCAATATACATAAATGGTGTATTGGCACGACTTATGGAGCCATCCATAGTTATACACAAATGGTGTATTGACACGTGTCCTGCAATATGTCAAAAGGGGGCAAAACAAGTGCGGTCCCACACAGGTGAAGCGCACCATAAGAGGATTAGCCCAAATGAACCCAGGTTCATCCCAAAACCAATTGGTGATTGGAGGAGTTATAAAGTAGGTTAATTTATCCTATCAAATCAATGTGGGACAACTTACAAATAATATTCCAACACAATAAATACACATTGGACATGAATCAGCACATAAAGTTATGAATGATTCCATAACGGCCTAGCTCCATAAAATTTATGAGAGTCCAAAACATAATAATCTCCTATCTTGCTAAACAAGAAAATACCAAATATTAAATATTCTCCTACCAAATAGAAATAAAGAAATAAGGAAATAATAATAAATATAATAAACAATAAATCTTAAATCCGGAGACCGATGATATTTTCCCCAGTGCGAGATACTCCATCACCTTGCCAGTGCCACTTTAATTTTCAACAAGACAATGGTCTTGGATTTGTTTGCAGGTGTTTTCCTTAAATCCTATACAGAAATCAACTTTAGACATAGCTCGAATTAGTAGTAGCAAGTAGCAACCCTGTTTGTAGGTCTACCAAAATTAATTTACTGTGATCTCAAGATCTTTCTCGGTCGTCTCTCTCATATCTCCACATACTAACAGCTGAAATACTTCATAAACCCTAGATTTTATTCAATACCTCGTTTCTCTATCTATTCGTATCCAGAGCTTGATACTTCAACTTGTGTTGCGTTTTCCATTAACGGCTAAATAGCTTATTCTGCAGACACAAAAAGAAGTGTTTATTCTGAAGCTCAGCTCTCAGTAGTCCTGTGCGAGCTTAACTCTTTGAGAAAGGTAAAGATTCATTTTTGTTCACTCACACTTGTTACTTGTATACTTCGAGTACTTCTTTTGCTGCTTTTGTGGTCGTTGAACGATATTGTTTACATCAGGTTGTTTTGGAACCATAGAACTGTGGGAGCAATGAAGCTAAATTGTACCTTTCTGGTGATTGTGCTTATAGCCTCAATCAAATTACCGCAACGTGTAATAGCAGATTCAGAGGTACTATACAACTCCAGAAATCGGTACATGTGACGATATTTTTCTTATTTAATTACTATTGTTGTGTTGTTTACTGGATGAGGCATTCATATTCTAGGAGGGTTCTGCCAATACGAATCGTCAGGTACTGCCGAAAACTAATGATAGCGTAAACCAGACAGTTGATACGGTGAAGAATGGCAAGGAAAGTAACTTGGTAAAAAATGGTTTGAAAGAGCGATTGGATTCCAGAAAAGGCGGGAATGAGCAAAAGAAGTTAAATGGTGGTGCTCAGAAGGGTGAACCTAAGGAGAATCAAGGTTTGGATTCCGAGTCTACAAATGAACCGAAAAAAGGGAAGTTGCCACCAGCGATAGAGAAATGTGATTCGTCTTCCAACCGTTGCACGGACAATGATAAGACATTGGTTGCTTGTTTGAGAGTTCCTGGGAATGGTATATTATTTGCTTTCTTTAACCTTTGTTAGGCTTGACTCTGTTGATTGATAATATCTTTTGTATTTGCTTGCTTGAGTGGCAGATATTGTATATTGGTATGTGTGGGTGTCTGGCCTGCAGCTTGGATCACTTATTAATTATTGGTGATTAGTATATTTGTCTTGTCCAGGATTTAAGTCAGTGATATTTTCTCCTTTGGCAATAATTGGTTTTGGCATGGACTGTAGATCCCTTGTTGTTACCATTAATATAAAAAGCGATGTACCACTTGAAATATACTGGAAGACATCTTATAGGAAAATTGTTACTGAGAAATTGAAGAATCTATTTTCTTTTTCCTTATGTAAATAGATTTTTTTGTTTTTTCATTTAATCTTAATACTGTAGTTAATTTGTGGCCTATATGATAAGAATCCCTCTTTGCCTCTTGTCTTAAGTTTTGCATCAGATGACACTAAGTTTTATTTATCATGTGTTACTGAACTTATTCTAGCTGAAGTACTTCATTTGATGGTAGAACTTCAAATCATGCATATCGATATTGTATTTGTAAACCTGACTCTTTGATTACGAATGAAATGGCAAAAACTTTTTGTTTTTCTTCCAGAATCTCCATCCCTTTCGCTTTTGATCCAGAACATGGGAAGAGTTCCTCTGAGTATCAAAATCACAGCCCCGGATTCAGTTCAACTGGAGAATACACAGATTAAGCTCCAAGAGAATAAAGACACGGAGGTATGCCATGTCGCATGAATGATTAATGAGTAATATCGCTTACATTCGATTGCGTGATAATATTATTAAGGTGGCATGCTGGAAACTATTCACATGGCCTTGGATTTGTATCAGCTGCATTCCCCATGTTCAAATTGAACTGTGGTTTTTTCTTAGTTAGGGTTAAATATTTTTCATGATCATGGAAATATAAAATTGGTCATATGTGCTGCATATTATTTGAGTCGAGGCAATACTGAATTAAACACTAAAACAGTCTAAGATAGTGTTCTCTAACCTGGTAGTTGGTTTGTTTTTTACACACATGCTGACAAGTCCATGCTATGGCATGTCTAGTGGCAAATTTCAGGCTCGTTATTGGTGGTTGGTCTTTTAAGGGTGTGATTGGATATAAACTTAACTAGAAAAAAACCAATCAAAACTCAGATTTAACTCAACTTTAACCCAATTCTACTATCCTCAATATTATCAATATAATTAAATACTATCAACCAATTATTTTTACACATCACTATCAACTTTAATTCACTATTCATCCACACATAATTTTAACTAACCATCACTTCCAATCATTTTTCTCCTACTTTTACATCAAATCAACTTTAATTATTTTATTTTAAATATTATTTTAATTTAAAATTAAATTCCCACTAACAACTAATCATACCACCTTTTCCAAAATTAACTATGGTTAACGAAAAAACCAAACAAAAACCAATCAAATCCATATCCAATCACACCCCATTTCCACATACTTAGGTTGGTAAGAAACTGGTTTTTCTTTAGTTGGTACATGTAAACGTTTGCAAATCCATCTTTTTCATATTAACCCTTTGGCAAATAAATATGATTAGGTATCTTTTCGCCCATAGGCTCTTGCCTGATTTTTCATCCATATTTGCGTAAGGCTAATTTATTTCAGACAGATTTCTGTATTTTATCTTAAAGGAGCAGGTTATAATACAGTTACTGTGCTTATGTTCTAGATTGCGTCAAAACTACCGTAACTTTTCTTTATAATTTGTCAGGATCTTGGAGTTATTGTGAGTCACATTTTTTTACTTTTCATACAGTTTTATTATGTTATCCATTTGAAACATTACATCAACAATGTAGTCAAAAGTTATGTTTCTCTTTTCGAATCCATTTTATCTTTCCTTATTTCTTTTTTCTTCTTCTTTTTTCTTTTGTTAAACTTGAATCGTCATGCCCTAGGATATCATGAAGATACTAGGTTGCATATTCTAGAGCCACTAAAATACTGTGCTCCTAGTGTGGGACCGAACCTGGAACTTCTCATGTACCCATTGATAGAACGCTTTGCGGTGCTCCACATATCCTGATCATTATTCACATCTATGAACTGCGGTGCATAGTGAAACCGGAATCAAGATTCTTGGAAAGAAAAATAGTGAATAACCAAAGGTCCAAAGTTAGCTAAAGTAGTATTCTAGTTGTATGTGTCCAGTAAAAATCAGATGCTGTTATTGAGGTTAAAACGAGCCTTCTAGGCTACCTCTGTTTAGCACTGATGCTGAATCTGTAATATTATGTCTCCTCTTTGCTAATCTCTTTCTGCTTTAACGTTTTCACCGAAAGAAGATATCTTATGAACTGTTAGTTATTTACCGACATTGCTCCTCCTTGCAGGTCAAGGTTTCCATTACAGGAGTCAAAAGTGGCCATAATATCGTACTCTCTGCTGGACACGGCAATTGCAGCCTCAGTTTAACAAACCAATTCATTTCCATGAAGATGGCCGGTGATCCACACGACCCCTCATACTCCAATACAGACTTCAAACTAACTCTATCCAGAGGATTTCTGTTTTCGGCTGCACTGCTGTTATTGCTGGCATCCATTTTTACGGGCACCAAACTAGGAAGGAAGTATTTTTGGAAAAAGGACCCCAAATACCAAAAGCTAGACATGGAGCTGCCTGTTTCACATGGCAGCAAGGTCGAGTCTGGCGGGAATGAGGATTGGGATGATAGTTGGGGAGATAATTGGGACGATGAAGAGACTCCGGTTACACCCTCGATGCCCGTGACTCCAAGTCTTTCTTCCAAAGGCATGGCCTCAAGAAAGTTCAGTAAGGAAGGCTGGAAAGACTAAGCCCTCACACCTCAACATCATTATATAATGATAACGGGTATCGGCTACTGCTGGTTATTATTTTGGACCAGGTTTGATGCTAATGCATGCATAATTCTCTAAGATTGAAATAGAAAAATTACTCCTACTCGCAATTTCTTCTCCTTTAGTGCTGATTGAGTTTGATGATCCGAAATTTCTTGTGTTCAGTATGTATTTTGCTAAGATGGGAGAGGTGAATTGGTCGAATTGTTTCCCTTGATTGCTATATTTGTTGTCAGGGGGTAATTGATCATCCTATCACGTTCATGGTATTGATTTTAATATATTGGAAATGAGTTAGTTGCTTTTGTCTGAAACTGATCTGTGTTCTTGTGGAACTCATTACTCATGTACAAGGATTTCGGAGCATGTTAATCTGACTTCTCATGTTCATATTACAATTTCTGAATAGGGACATATGGCTATGACATTATATGCTTTCCCATATTTGCCTGGGGTAAGAAGGCTACAGTCCTAAAAGAGTCATTATATGACATTATACATTTGTTTGTTAAAAGAGTCATTTCTACTAATTCACTATGTTCCAGAAGTACTAAAATAATCGAGCAATACCACAGAAAGGTACAAAAAATAACGAATGGTTTTATTTTATTTTTTCGGTGGGAGACACTGAAGATATCTGATTAAAATTACAACTTCACCCACTCCACGAGCTTCCCGTCCCCACCATGAACCTCACAGAAAATGAAATCACGGGTCAGAGGTCCGACCCGGAAATTTCACCATGTACTTGCAAATTATGTATGTTGATGAAGTTCAATCTTTAGTGCTTTTCGAGTTTACGTAATAGTACACTTCCATTTGTTGATTGAATATTTTAGATGACTAACATGAAAAGAATCCTAGATATTAGCATAGCAATAATCACACTTTGTTAAAAGTCGGGATACATGCTGTCTAGTTCTAGGCGGTACTTGAACGCCCTTCTAGGCATGGAAAAAGCTAATATAACACAAACTTAAAAACTTATGGCCTACTATAATTTGATTCTCACCAACATTTCCACATTACTCGGCTTCAATAATTTTGTCTGGAGTCCATGTGAAGGTATGAGAGCCTCTCCCAATACCTTCAATCATACTAAACGATTTTTCCAATCTAGAAACTTCTGTGATGGATGTGTCGGATCTATATTTCAACGAACGAAAAGCCAAATTTTTGTGTAAATTAGACATCTTTTGTATTCAGACTACTCATCCAAAGCAGAATCATTTCTTAATACCAGAAATTGAAAATAGACTACTGAAAATAAGATCCCCACACAAGCAGTTAAAAACTGATATGGTTTAGAAATTGAACCAGCGAAAGACACATATGTCCGAGCTTTGATTTTGCATATGTACTCATATACGAGCATCTTCTCTTTTCGTCACCAATTTAACGAGGTTCCTATGTTGGACTTTGGAAATCATAAGATTAACATAATTCTGATTTTAGTCGTCGGCATTACTGTCATGACTGTTTGCCCCTATATTGTGTGGAAATGGATGGCGAACTAAAGAGGTTAGACTTTGGACCGAATCCTTCATGTGTTTGAATTATATATGCAGCTGCTTGTGAAAATGTTTTCTTGTCGACTAAACAAAAAGAGATTGAGTCTAATTCACTTCAAAACACATTGATTAAATTTAATCTCTGAAGAGTTGCCATTGTTTAAGTTGGAGGCACTTGCAAACGGGACAGAAAAATTTTCAGGCTCGGAAAGGGCAGTTTTGGACTTGTTTACAGGGTACCTATGCTTTTAAAATACAAGCATGCATATATAGGTTACACATATATATCATGCTCTCATCATTTTAATAATGGCTGTTAAACAAAATGATGAATAGAAGATACTGCAATCCAGGAAGTATTGGCAGGTGGAAGAGAGATTGCTGTTAAAAAGGCTTTCAGAGGTCAAGGGATGTAAGAATTTATGAAACAAGTTTTTGCTGATTTCTAAACTACATAGGCAAGACTTTGGTTGGACTAATCTTGATTGCTGATGGGACATATTTGTATTCTGGCCTGTTGAAGTCCACATTAAAAACTGAAACAAACTGGATCCATGTTTGTTTCATTTCATATGCATATACAAACCAAGCCCTGAATTTTTTGTGACTGGTTTTTGGGGAGTTATTAGCAATTTGGAAAGTATTTAGTCACCAGATGTGCTCTTGTTGGTTTTCCAGCATAATGTGTGGGTATGGAATAGATGGCCACATTATTACCGATCATTTTCCGACAATAAAATTTTACACACGTACTTAGTGTTCCTGCAATTAGTTGGAGTCTTTGTTGCTGTTTCTGTGGTTGGTTTGTGTGTGTGTTTAGGGATTGGTTTTACCGCTAGGGGTGTCAATTCTTTTATATAATACGTAATTGGGTATATGACACATAGTGGACTCCACCCCAACCACTAACCCTAATACTTCTTTCTCACACACTCACACACACAACATACACGCACCCATGTTGCACACACACAAATACACACATAAATTCATCACTCCTCACATACTGTTGCCGGCCTCTACCCTCCGCCGTCACCACAACGACTAGCCCGCTGTAGCAGCTGCTTCATACGCTGCCGCCGAAAGCAACATGAACCTAGTCGGTGACAGACGACGTGAAATTATGAAAACTTTTACCTCGCTCCTTGAATAGGTCGATCTCTCCACCTGTCTTATCGTCCTCTCTCCTGCCTGTTTCGCCCCTCTCTCCTAGGCGAACGTCTCTTGGGCGAGTTCGCCCTCCATTTCTTTGGCTCGGGTCAAGCCAACTCCTCCAACTTAGCAAATTCAGCCTCTGTCTCCTCCAAATTAATGTATTTCTTGCATTTTTTTCAACACTTCATCGTACGTACGAGCTGGAGTTGACTTGCTCAGCCATTCTCTCCAAAGTTCGAGCTCTCAGGACTCTTTCTTCTTCGAAGCTCGACGCGTTCTCCTCTGTGTTTTGCTGTGCACCTACCACCGTGGTCGGTGCAGTAACGACTTGCGATGTATAGTGCGTGACTTGCTGCACCGCCGCGTTGGCCATCATCCTCTCCATCTCCTCCCTGTTCGTTTCCACCACCTGGGCACTCTTCTTCTGCTCTTGGCAGCACCACCACATGCGCCACCGTTCCCATTGGCTACACTCCAGCTAGATCTGGTTGTGGTTGTACGGGCACCACCGTCCCTTGCGCTGCCTGAGCCTCTTATGCCCGGTTGGAGTCCACCTCTACCATAGGAACCGTCAATGAATCCCCAAAACCTTGAGGAGCAAGCGTTAGTGTCACCGGAGTTTGAGAAGGTCCGGAGAAGCCCGAAGGAGGGCCAGCTTCGAACGGCCGCGTCGTCGTCCATGCATCGTCGAACGACGGCTGCAAATTCTTCGTTGGAACCTCGTCCGCCATAGATAAATCAACTCCCAAGCTCTGCACACAACTTTTCAAACGAAGTCCCCACAGACGGTGCCAAAATGATAACGTAAGACTCTCCGACTGGCTGGAAATGGCTTGCTCGTGCTTTTCATCGTCGGTAGAACGCCTCATACCTACAAAAGCTCTCACACCGAAGGAATTTTCTGGTGAAGAGCCTCCGATGCTTAAATGAGTATATATAGAAGATGAATTCTCAAAGAGTATATTGAACGTACTGCATAAAATCGCAAGTCTCACCCCTATATATAGGGGTAAGGTACCTGTTCTAGAAGGTAGCCCGAAAGTGCTGAGTCAGCTACCCGGTCGTACAACACACACTGAAGATGTGTCAGAGATGGTTATAGGGTATAAACCAATCAGGCAATGCCACGTGTCCTCACCGCGTGGGAGTTGATTCCTCAGAGATCTTCTTGAAGGCTCGACCAACTGTAGGTCGATTTGCTGTTGCGGGTTGAGTTTCGACCAGGCTATCCGAGGGCTCTGGTTCGACCTACTCTCCTCGTGCCAGAATCCCCTTTAAGCTGTCTTCCAGTCCAGAGGCTCTTATCCTATGATGTTTGATCACGACCACCTCGTTCGGATCTCGCTCGACCATGTAGTATTTAGACATGGGGCTGAAGCCCACCCTAGCCCAAGGGTGGCTCCACCCCTATAGGTACAATATTCCATATCAACATGAATATATAGTTTTTCCATGTAGCTATTACTTTTCCTTGTAGGTTGATTTCCTTCCAAGCATAAGCTTCATGATATGGTAAGTGAATAATGATCTTGTACAAAATTCCTCTCTCTTCAACTTGTTTCCAAACATGTCAATCACCACTTCCATGCACAAATCCGAGTTTCCTAAAAAATATAAATGAATAAGATCACAATATCTCATAATATATACATATAAATCGACATAACCAAATAAGATCTTTCCTTTTAATTTTCTTTTGCTTGCAAGATTGTATATCAATATATTATTTTTAAACTCCTTGCCAAAAATAAACTATTCATAAATATAATTAAATAATGTCAATTAATCATTCTCACACATCACATGATTAACTTCAATTCACTATTCATTCACTCATATAATGTCAACTATCTATCACTTTCTATATAATCTCTATTTCTTACTTTCACATCATATCAACTTCAATCGTTACATTCTAAATATTATTTAATTTTAAATCTACTTTATTCAAAATAAATCAATTTAATTTACTTTAACTCGTCAAGCTGAATCATAATATGTTTAATCTTTATCCTATCGCTCCTTAGGTCAAAAACAATACTACTTATTATAAGTAACAATAACAATAAAACATATTTTATAACCAACCAATAGGTTAATTGGAGAAGGTTGACTACAGTTGTCTGAAAACAATCCACTAGAATTTCGTATGAGAAATGCAATCAAATAATACGAATGCAATCAAATGATAAATACTAAAACTATAACCAATAATTAGAGTGGAAAACAAAGGAGGTGAAAGGTCGGCGCATCACATGGCACCGCAATCGGCTCACGAGAAGTCGGAATTGGACCATTTCTTTTTTCTCACTTTCCCCTTGATTGGCGCTTATTGGCAGCCCTTTTGTGCAAATTTTCTGGTTTGTGTGTATCAGCCAACAAACTATGCATCATGCATGACTTTTGTTCACTTTGTGCCCATTTATTTCCACGTATGAACATTGACATCATTTTTACATCATCTGCCAATTCTACACTAACAAATACTCATGAAATTAGTCAAAATGCATGACTTTTGTTTTGTTCACTTTGTGCCCATTTATTTCCATGTCTCAACATTGACATCATTTTTACATCACCTGCCAATTCTACACTAACAATTACTCATGAAATTAGTCAAATGAAAACCAAGAAAATGAAAGAATTCGATCACTCGAGTTTTTATTTATTTATTTATTTCAAAGATATCTGATATGAAAAATATATAATTACATTTAGATATTCGATAAAAATAGCCAAACAGTCAAACAGCTGAATATAGTCGGAGGACTGTAGAGAGATAAACACACAATACAACACACTGTACAGCTTCCAGATGTGGAGAATACAAATCCTAAAAGGAGAATACAAGCACCCAGTGGCGGACCTACATAGGGGCCCGTAGGGGCACGGGCCCCTGTAG